GCATTTCCGCCCGCGTTATTTGTTCGCGCCAAATATACCCTTTTCGGGTAGGTCTGGAAGGCCTTTCGCGAGACCGTTTGCTGGGCAAGGACTCGCAGACGCCCCGAGAGGGCTCAAAAGGCTTCAGAGAATGCATGGAATGTATATTCTAACACTACACTAAGGGCTGTAAATTATTATACTCTGCCCCCAGCTGTATGCCTCTCTACCCTCCCTCTCGATGGGTCTTTGCCGCACATTTGCCGATACCCGAAAAGGGTATATTTGGCGCGGACAAACAACGCGTGCAGAAATGCGATGTTCAGTTTCTTATGCAAGGCACTGTATTACCCCTTATGTCAAGGATTACCGTTTGTGTGATGGAAATTAATTCCAAATATGTAGGGTGGCACTGTCACGCATCCCTCGGCTGCCTAATGGCAAGCATCCTGTTGCCTACGGTACAAGCTATCACAGTGTTGAAAACATGCTGTATACAGTACACTGACTCTACAGTAACACTGATCGAGGGTGGCGGAATGCCACCCTAGGGCAGCAAAGAAGGCACTTGTTATCTATTCCTCAGATACATGTAACTGTAAAGCTTGACACCAAGTATCTGATGGATCGAAGACTCTGACCGCACTGGCAGGCCGCCAACTTGAGAGTTAGAAGTTGATATCATTCAGTATCATTCAGGTCAAGATGAAATAACTATGAGCATTGTTGATGCCGCGCAGCGCCCGGGGAGCAAGAAAGATTATTTCCCTGCTTGTAGAGTCCCTGCCGTGGGTTTACCATAGACTTTTATATGTGAGGAATCGGACCTGGCGTGCGCCGCAGCGCCGAATACTTCCCAAGTCCGAGAGGACATGGCTCAACTGCCAGTGCCACGGATGTATATAGTGTACAACCCCATCGCTACCGCGAGGATTTACCCGCACGCATACCGAACTTCCCATTCCTCTAAAAGACAACATGCGCTTTGCGGCGGTCTTGTACTTCATACTTAGTCTTTCTTAGCCTTACCCTCCCCGTTGGAAAGGTTCGGTAACGTAGCCGCCACCTCATCGATCTTCCTAAACTGCCACGGGAACCGCGACGGATACAAGAATGGTCGCAAGTCGAAACCTTATAATATACCGTCAGCATCGGTCTCGCGGAGCAGTGAACCAATACGCTCACGGTTATCGTCCGGACTATATTGCTCCTATTCTTAGGTGTCAGCGCAGCTCGTGAAATGAATCGATAGCAGATACATACGGCGTGGTACGCAGGCGTGATTGTAGTCATCTTGTGCCTATTCCTGGCATACTCAAAGAAGAACAGCTTCACCTTCTCCGCGATCTATCAAAGAATCCAATTACACATGTCCTAGGGTATCGTAAGGCGGGGCGAAGACGGCACACCTGCGTTGGAGAGAGGAATGAACCCCAGTCGTGTACGAGCTTTTGGAACATGCTGTAGGGCCCGCATTTCTCCACCTTGCGCAGCCGCCCGAAGATCGAGAGTTCGTCATAGGTCATACCCATATCAGCCTGTAAAGCGGAAGCACATTGAGTCACGGCAGGACCTGAATATCTATCCCATCAAACCACACGTACTTCATCTGACTGCACGTAATTCTCAGTAATGGGCTCCAGCTCCGCCGTCGGTGTGGCGTCCAGAAAACTAGGCAGCGGACAGGCAGATGTTAGCGGGGCGTTAAGGCGGATATGTGGGAAGTAAGCAACGTACTTCTTTAGTATAGGCAAGTCGAACATCTCCTGAGCGTACGCGATAAACTTCTTCAGGTCCGTCTTACTGATCCCGCCGATAGGGTTCACATCAGCTGCACTGCGGTTAACAGTACGACAGGCGTAAGTAAGGAAACTACGGCCGTACCCGACGAGCAGTCATATTTCGTGAGGTATCCTCGAAGACTATCCTGGTCATAAGTTTCACCGGTAACACGCTATCAGATCACTACTCGCCTTTCATCCACATTCGCACTCCCAAGCACGAGCAACCCGCCATACTTGCCTCTCACCCAGGGCAACAGCTGCGCAAACAGGTACGCAAGCACCATGCGCAGCCTAGCCTAGTTTCCGTATCTCATCTCCGTGTCCAACCCGCTTCGGCAGCCTAGACTCACCTGAATGTTCTGCAAAGCCAGATTCTCGGCCTCCGAGCCGCCCTGGACGCGGAACCTCGGTTTCACGCCTGTGACGAATCCAAACAGGTCCCGGACGGAGGTCACTATCGTGTCCATGTTCAGATCAACATGATAACTGCCCATTGAAGCACTTGAGGTGTGCCACTTTGCTTCAGGAAAGCGGAAGCCTCACCTCCCAATAGCCTCAGAGAGCTCCTTTGCTCTCTGCCTCGTGTCTATGCTGGAATTCTCCGTGCCCATATAGCACGTATGGAATATTCTCTTACAGAACTCCTTCGGATCCGTGGGTAGGTACTCCGAGTCCTCTTTCTCTCCAGCGATGCGCCGGGCGTCTGCAATGACCTGTTTGTCTTCATGTGCCAACTTCAGAAAGAGGCTGAAGCGGAGATGCCTTGGAACGTAACATACCTCCGTTGCGACAGGCTTCAGCGACGAGACGGCACATCGAGTATGTGATGACGGCCGTGGCGCAGCTATCGATACCACCGCTGAGCGGGATGAAATAGCCTACGGCACGAGAGCGTCGAAGGTAGTCCCACAACCAGCAAGCCGGACCCAACCTGCACAATCGCATCAGTCCTGAACTTACCTCTAAACAAGATGAAGAGAGAAAGTACGTACGCAATCTCCTCCTCAGGTCGGTGATACCGCGGCTCCAAAAACCTTCTCAGCGTCGGATCGTGCACCTCGCTCCAATGCCTATTGCTCAGCGCAAACGGCACCTCAACACGATGATACCTCTCCGCCTGCGCGGCCTGCATGCTGCGGCTGCTCTTCGCACGGTGCGCCCTAACCTCCTCAAGGTCCACCGTCGCCGACACGACCTCGACCTCTTGCAGGGAGAACTGTGAGCCCTGGGCGACGAGCTGCCCATTGACCGCAATCATCGCACACCCGTCGTAGTACAGCCGGTCGCCGTCGCAGCCCTGCTGGTTTGCGTACAGATAGATCCCGCCGAGCTTCAGCGTGGCTTCTTTGATGAGCTCGACGCGGGTGTAGAGTTTGCGCAGCTCGTGATGGCTGCCGCTGGAGTTTGTGAAGATCTCGACGCCGTCCATGCCCATGAGGATGTGAGGGCTGATGAGATGTGAAGTCAGCCCGTGGAAGAACTTGGAGAAGCGGACTAACCTAGCTGGCGTGAACAGTTCTTCGCACAACTCTACACCGATGCACGTATCCAGAGTGCTCACGACAGCATCACCAAATGGGACTTTGACCTACCCATCCAAAGAAGATGTCAGAACCACGAACAGAGGCTCTGTTCCACTCCGCACCTGATCTGTAATCTTCTGTATCATCCTGGGCAAATAATGCTCCTCCCACTGCCGATGCTTCGCCCACGGCGTAAAGTACCGCAGCTCCCGGTAGTTCCCATCGTTCGCCAGCCACATCTTGGGGCGGATCAGAAGGATCTTGTGGTCGTGGATGACCACCCGGCAGTTATATATCACATTCTTATGCACTACAGGCCTGTCGTGCTCAACATAAGTTAAGCACGCTCAAACGCAACCCGCGCCTGCAGCTTACATCCCGATGTCACACACAATCCCAGTGGCTTCTTCGGATTCCAGTATCTTTGCCAGCACCTCCCACGAATGCAGGACGGTGTCACCTGGCCGGCAGATATTACAGGGCATTCGGAGCACACAGCACAATCGAACTCACCTTCAAGGAAATGGTCATAGCACCCGTAGCCTCTGTGTACTTGAGCGACAGCGCCCCTCAGTTATCTCAGAAGGACTCACGGAATCTCGAGCTCAGGACCGACGCGCAGGGTTGCACCGCGCTCTTTGGCGATGACTATGGAAGCCATAATACGCTCGTAATTCCCCTGGGTGGTAAGTCAGAATATGTTCCCCCGGACACACGTCATCCTGCATTTACTTGGAAGTCCATCGCCCACTGGTTCAGGGAACTGGGAGACACCTGAGTCTTTCAGTGTCCTTGGACGCGTCCCGTACATGCTTACCATCTGCGGATTCCATCGTAAACGCCAACATCTGGAAAGAAATAATTCACCGCTCACGTTGCAATAGTAATAAGGTGACCCATCTTGGTCTATGTCGAGGTCAGCGACTGTAGACCTGCAGTCAATTCGGACGCTTTGAAGCAGACGCTTATCAAGGTGAAGTAATCGACGACGATTGCAAGCGCGTCATAAGCAGCCTATATTTAGACCAGATCCACGCCTGATCTGCCACACTATCAGCCACAAACGCGTCTCAGAATGAAAGAAATGCATTGATAATCTATCCTATGGTATCTATGTTCTATTCAGCAGTGGAGACATTAGTAAATCAGAGCCATGACAGCAAAACCGCGATGCAAGATTACAAAAGCAAATATACTGGTACATAAGATACTTCACGACACACCCTCGGTTCCCCTTGAATCTGCTCTCCCTGCCCACCATGCATTCAGCTCGACGTCGACGTCGTGTACGATGGAGGGCCTGTGGCCACACATGCGCATGAGCTCCCACCAGCTGCCGAGTAAAGTGCACATTACACACCTGGTGAACGATTCGAGGCATGGATAGCAGCGAGCAGGCTCGCCTTCTCGTCGTCGTTCAGGTTATCCACGAGGCGCACGAGGCCCGTGAGCGTCGCCTTCCGGTCCTCCCGAACCATCGCCAGCATCTGCTTCTTTAAGTGGTCACCCTTGAGCTGCACAATCGTCTGGTCCAGGTCGAGCTTCTCGAGCTTCTCAGCGATAGCCCGGTTGTCGTTGGGCTCCTCGATGGTCGCGAGGCTAGCCAGGAGCTGCGACCGGTACTCCAGCGACGAGTCTGGACTGGCTTCCGCTAATTTCTTCAACGCCGCTTGGCGAGCGAGACGAGCACGCAGAGCCCAATAGAAGTGTCGCCGAGCGCCCTTCCATGTGCAAGGCTTCGCGCAACCCTTCGCCTCCATACGACCCACTCGACTACAACAGTGGTCAGCATACTAAACATCAACGTAACGTAACCATGGACGTACTCATGGAGATCAGCATACAGCAGAGCAATCTGCTTGTATGTCTGTTGCAAGAGCGTCTCCCTCTCGGCCAACTTTTGGGTCGCTTCCATCCGCTCGTCCGGTGTCTTGGAGGCATCCTTGCTTGCCTGCTTCAGCGCCGCATACTCCGAGTCCAGCCGCTCCATCAGGTTCAGCATCCGCTCCCTACGGAACTTGATCTCGATGATACCCTCAGGCTCCAGTACGCCCGCACGCGCGTCGACGTCCGCATACATCTCCATCTGGCCCTCGGCATTGATCGACGGATCGAGCACTACCCAGGCACCGCCACGCAGCTCGCCGTTAGGCACGATGTACACGAAGACGGGCTGCTTGTAGCTGGACAAGCCGTCGACGATCTTTGATCCTTGCTTGAGGATTTCATCGTACATATCCTGCTGCCCCCCAGAGAAGCCACGCCAGTTGGCGAAGATGATGAGAGGAAGGCCTTCCCGGTTGAAGTCGAAGATAGCCTGGGCAGTCTTGTACGCAGAGTTAGGATACCAGACCTGGCCAGCTTCCATAATGCGCTGCTCGAAGGACGCGGGGTTGGCAGGATCTGCCGGAACGACACGCTCGATGGTGCGGGTTTCGACGGCAATGACACCCGTAGGAATGCCGCCAAGACGTGCCCGGCCGACAACGACAGTCTGCGCCCATCCACTCAACGTCTCCTGGAAGGAATCACGATCGAAGAAACCGCTCAACCACTCCTCCGTGCTTTCATCTACCTTGCCCTGAATGAACCATCTGGGATCGTAAGGACCCTTGGGAATCGTGTAACCAATCTCACGGTCCCAGGTATCCGCAGACGGCAGGATAGGCAGAGGCACGCCCTTGGCTTCAGGCACGTACGTCAACCACTGTAGGATGTGTGTGACACCCTCCAGGTCACTGTTCGCAGTTAGATGAGAGACGCCATTCTTGAACATGATTTGGGTACCGCCGAGTTGAAGGTTGGAGGTGTACACTTCGCGACCCAGGACCTTGTTGAGCGCCGGCGCACCTGTGAGAATGATCGGTTGACCCTCAACCTGGACTGCTCGTTCTCCGAGGCGGACAAGGTAGGCACCGATACCGACTGACCGAGCAGTCACCAACGTAATCGTGAAGATATCGTCGTAGGCGCGCGACGTCTCGCCAGCAATGAGACCAGACCCCTTCAGACACTCTACACCTAAGCCATCCTGAGTACCAATGATGTCGGTGATCTTGTGTCGCTTCTCGCCATCCACTTCAATCTCTTCAGTGCGGACTGCCCCAGGCGCTTTGTCCTGTAGGGCAAGGTAGTTCTCATGCGTCAAGTACAGGTACTCCACGCCCTTCTCGGGATGGTCCTTGTCGTTCCACGCAGCAGAGAACAGGCCTATTGCTTCCTCTGCAAGGCCAATCCGCGCACCAGAGTTGGCCGAGAGATAAATCCTAGGGAGGCCTTGCTCTCGAGCATATTGGGTGGCAAGGTAGAAGAATTGATCTTCTTGAGGGCCGAAGGATCCGATCTTGTACGTGATATCGTTGGCAATGACAACGGCTCTGCGGCCATGAGGATATTCTGGCGTACGGAGCGTGTATACCCAACCGACCATACCGAACGTATTGTTTCCGGGGGCGCGATCGACTTCCACCAACTGGTCGTGCTCGTCAAGGACCAGCTCCCTGGACTCCAGAAGTTGCTTGGGAATGACGAGTCCGGGGTTCGTCTTGCGAGCCTTGGTCCAGACGTCATGGAGTGCCTTGCCAAAGAGCTCGGGGAAATCATACACATACGTCGTACCAACGAGGTGAGCCTGGTGACGCTTAGGCTGGAGCGACTCCTTCATGGGGTAGGGCTGATGCACTGGCTGCAAGTGCAATGGTCCCTTGTCGCCGATGGACTTGAGGATGGTCGTCCCCTTATCAGTAGTGATCTCCTGGTACCCATGGAACTTGACGACGAATCCGGAAGCGTTCTCGATGACGCAGCGGATGGGAGTGACATGGCCGTCCTTGTCTTCGAGAGTGATACGGATCTCGGAACTGGTGACTCGCAGACGCCACAATCGCTTCCCGTGACGTTCCAAGAATCCAGCGATGGCTTCCAGAACATCGTCGTACGTGACTTGAAGGTTGTAGACGAAGTTCATGAAGATATGGTTACCATCTGGATTGCGGTACTGTGGACTGACGATTTGCAAGGCGTCCAAGATATCGGTAACAAGGCGATCCGTCTCGGAGATGAGGTACTCCGCAGTAGTGATGTTACCCCGATGACGACCCGGACGAACAAGTGCGCGGACGAAGAATCGGGTATCGAGCTGGTTCTCCCTCGCCACGGCATGGTAGATGTGAAGCTGCTTGCTCTCGACGAAGCACGGCGTGAGATTGTAGTTGGACATGCGGCTGAGCTCCAGCTGGAAGGCGAGAGCAGGTTCGATATTACGGATGGCCTGTTCTTCCTTCCAGTCACCACCCATGTCTCGGAGAGTAAAGTAGACGGGGTATTGCCCTTGGCGGCACACCAGTACGGTGACACGGCGGACACCACGGCGGGTCAGCACGTCCTTCTTCTGGTTCGTCAATTCATGGATCTTCTCCGCGAATGCATCGTCGGACATGTCATCTTCCCGATTAAAGATCCGTAGAGCCAGGTTAAGGACGTTTGGCGGCTGGCTGTTTCCGTAACGTTGGGCATACTCCGCAGGGTCGAAAGGAGGCAAGAAAGCGGCAACCTTCTCGAACCCCTTCGAAAGAGCTTGCAGGTTAGCAAAGGACGCCATCGCACCCGTTCGCGTAGGCTGAGACTGGTTCTTGTTGAGCATGTACGTGAGATCGCTAACGGACTCTTGGCGACGAGGGGCGCTGGACACTACCGTATTAGTAAGACTACAGGAGACATAGAATGAAAAGCTGACCCATCAGTGATACGAGGCGTGGAAGGAGGCGAGTGAGATTTGCCCAGGTTGAACGTCCACGTTACAGCCGAAGGCAACTCGTCATCTTCAAGAGGGTCGCTTTCCTCATAGTCCACGGAGAGCAGGGAGTAAGCACGGTACGCGCGACGAACATACACCTCGAGGGCAGCTATAAGAGGAATATAAGCACGCCGTCATCAGCGGAATATTCATTCACATACCAAGCTCGACCCAAGGCTGCTCATGCTCGAAGAAGCTCGGCAAGACATCGTAAACGGTGTACTGAGAATCAGTCAGTTCTCTCAGAATCTCAGCCGAAGGTTGCCTGATCGAGAACATTAGAGCTGTACTTCACCCAGTCACGCTGTACTTACCTGTGATCGGCCTTCTGTTGGCCGTAGAACTGGTTGGTGACCGCTGCCTTAAGAATGGCCTCCATCTGAACCCGACGCTCCTCGTACGAGGGCATCTGGCAGTAGATCAGGACTTCCCTAGCCTTGAGGGACACCGCACTCGACGACCGGGCCTCGAGAGTCGTCAATTCCTTGAGCACCTTGTGGAGGTTACCCTCGGGGTCGGACACCGGCAATCCACTGGACTTGACGTAGTCAAGGATGGCGAGCACCAACTTCGCCTTGCTCTGCACCTTGATGTGGCTGAGAACCAAGCGCACGACCTTGTCAAGGTCGTCCTTGTGCTGCTCACGGAGCATGAGCACACGGGCCTCGAAACTGCCACCAAAGAGCTTCTCGGTCTCTACATAGCGACCAAGCAGGCTGGCGATGACATTCGTCTCGTGCATCTTCAAGCCACCAACGTATCTGTCAACGACGTCCGAGATGGGACCAATCTGACTTCTGAACGTAGCCCGGTCCTGGGGTCGGATGTTCTCTTGCATGTAATGATCGATCAGCTTCCTCAGACGAGCCGCTGGGAATTCCGTGGCCTCGCCCTTAGCCTTGGCAGCCTCGAGTGCATGCCGAATAGTGTCCTCCAACTTCGAGGGGATACGGCCAGAAAGGACCGACAAGATTGAGAACATCTCGTGGTAGGGCAAAGAGGGGTCGTGCAACACTTCAGTCAACTCCTTCAGGGTAGGCGCCATCATAGCCTGGTTGTCGAAGCCGTCCAGGATATCGTTCAAGACGCCCAGGCACTTCGCCACGCGCTGGTGCGGCTTGCTACCGATGACGCTGGGCATACCCATGTCAGGCAAAAGACCCTCGAAAGGCTTTGCGTGCTTGACACGGCTCGGGTCATCCAAGGTGAGGATACCGAGGATGTCGCCAGGTTCTAGGCTGACACCAGGCTGCTTGACAAGCTGTACCACACCGTCCTCGGCAGCGACCAAGGGCATGTACATCTTCATGACCTCAATCTCAGCATAGGGCTCCCCAGCGTTGATATGATCACCGCTGTCGACAAGGAACCTGACAAGCTTGCCGGGACTAGGGCTGCGGAGCTGCGTCGGGTCGTTCTCCTGCTCGATGAGACACGTCTTCGAGTCGATCATGACTCTGAGAGCACCGACTTCCTCACGCCAGTAAACAGAGTGACTCTTGCCGTCCAACAAGACGAGCAGACCTCCATCAGCTAGGGGACGAGCTCCAATAAGTGTGCGACCACCGTTCAAGAACAAGGTCCACGTGGTGAGCGAAGATCGTGTCGCCGTGAAAGAGTACCGAACGTTGTCGTAGATGAAGTCGATGACGAACACAGTCTTCAAGGTATCGCGGGCAGGTACCTGACCCTTGTCAAGGATGCGCTTATACTCGGACCAGCAAGCCTCGGAGGCGATGTGTGCCTTAGTTACAGCACCGCAGATGACAGCAAGCGTCGCGTCAGGACGCTCGGCAGTCAACCTGCTAGAGATGAGCGAATCCAGCCAGCCCGTCGTGAACGTGTTCTCCTCGAACGCTTGCGTCTCGAGCAGCTTGATCAGGTACTCCACTGTCGTCCTGAAATCTCCGCGAATGCTCAACTCCTTGAGCGCGACGACCATGTTCTTCCGACTCTCCGACCGATCCTGACCGTACGCGAAAATGTGGCCGAACTGCGAGTCCGCGAACTCGTGCAGACCACCAGCCGAGTTGACCGAGAAGTAACCCCACACGTTCGTGCTGGAGCGGAAGTTGAGTTCCTGGAGGGATCCCGAAGAAGGCTTGAACCCGGCGTCAGGGTTCTCGGCCGTGATACGGACGGCGACGACGTGTCCCTTGGGACGTGGGCGGCGCTGCACTTGCATGGCATCGGGGTTCACCATGTCGAAGTCGATCTCAGAGGTGGCGTGCGGCTCGACACCGTAAAGCTGGCGAATATGACGGATACGGTGCAGCGGGATACCCATTGCCACGCACAGCTGGGCAGCGGGAAGATTGACTCCTGAGACCATCTCGGTCGTCGGGTGCTCGACTTGGAGACGAGGGTTGAGTTCTAAGAAGAAGAAATCATCGTCGCTGGGACTATACAAATCTGTAGCGCACTCACATCAGTATATGCTACGACTGAAGACGAGAAGCAAAGAAACTCACATTCAACAGTGCCTGCACTGACGTAACCAACAAGTTTCGCAAGACGAACAGCTGCGCGTTCCATCTGCTCGAATGTCTCGGGCTTCGCAATAGTAACAGGAGCTTCTTCAATGATCTTCTGGTGCCGGCGCTGGACGGAGCAATCACGTCCAAAAAGCGAGATGGCGTTACCGTACTGGTCCGCAAGAAGCTGGACTTCCAGATGCCGCGCGGAGCCCGCGAGCTTCATGATGAAGATGGGAGAGCCTATGTAGATGCGTAAGAAATATAACGCGACAAACAGCATACAACCCACCTGGAATCTCTCCCATTACAGCGTGGAACGCGTTCTTGAACTGGTCGGCCTTCTCGACCTTCCTGATACCCTTACCGCCACCACCTTCGCTCGCCTTGATCATAACCGGCCACCCGATCTCTTCGGCCTTGGCCAATCCTTCCTCGACTGTCGTAACACAAGCAGCCTTGTAGACATCATCTGGGACGATCACGTGTCCCTGCTCGTTCAACGCAGTCTCGGAGATGCCTGTCCCGGACCAAGCCATAGTCGGGACTTCTGCACTCTGCGCAACAATGGTACTGGAGATCTTGTCACCCAAACTCCTCATGGCGCTTCCAGGGGGACCGATGAAGACAATCTTGTGCTTGCTTGCGGCAAGGCTCTCAGGAAGTCTTGGGTTCTCAGATGCATGACCCCAGCCGGCCCATACGGCGTGGACACCCGAACGCTCGGCGACGTCGACAATCAAGTCGACGTTAGCGTAGTTGTTGTTGTTGGTACCACCGGGCACTTCGACATAACGATCCGCCATACGGATATATTCAGCATTCACCTTCAGGTCCTCTGGCGTGGCCATGACCGTGAACTCGATGGCACGCTCGGTGCCGAACATTTCGTAGCTCCATTGGCGGATGGAACGAATCTCTTTCACGGCAGCGATACCTGCAGAGCGACTCTTCAGCGTCAGTGTCGAAGCACTGCTATGATCAACGTACCGTTATTGGCAATTAGGACCTACAATAGTACCGTGAGCAGGCATGACGATGCGGGAGCACTGAGGGCGACGCACCTTTGTGATAACAGTATGGCCACCGTGGCCTTTGACAAAGTCGTACACCTGGCCTCGAGGTGCATTCTCCAAGGAATTTCCGCCTGCACAGGTATGAGTTCAGCGAACGCCCGACGCGTCGACGCGAACCGCTTACCTATGAAATGGGCGACTTTGGAGTGGTCGTAGGCCGACATGGCTACAAAGGTCCTTGAGGAGAGAGAAAGGGCGACGGCCGGCTATAAGAGCAAAACGAGCAGCGACCCACCAGTCCCACCAGAAGTGCCCGATCCTGGGGTGCTGTACCGCAAACTGCCAATCCCCAAAGAAACCCGTGATTACGTCAGCGTCCTGCGGGCGTACCAGGCTCGGAGAACGTGCAGAACGGCGGACAAAATCGAGGTAAAGACGGCGTCTGTGTCGTCGCAGCCATCAGTTTCCCTGCACGAAAAGGCAAAGGGCGTCGCAGACATCAATCAAAGTCAATCACGGCCTGCGGTGTGGATGGTCGTTGCCATTCGCGAAACCCATCCACAGACCGTCCGAAACACCGACTTGCGCCCTCTAAAGCCTATTCCGCTGATGTTCGAGCGCATTCCTGCGACTTTGCATGACATCAATTCTATTTAGCGAACACGCTAGCGACACAGCGCGCAGGTACAGACGGTGGAGGAGAGACGTCAGGAATCGCTGGGGACGCTATGCACGACGACAAGTGGATGACTTCCCGTAAGCATTTAGAACGCGTTTTGAGCAGTTCTAAATCTCTAAACGCATCAAGCCGAGATGCCGTCTTGTCACGCTCTCGCTTAGACCAAGTTTTGATGAGGCTCGTCGAGCAAAAACCGTCTCTAAACTTTAAATCTAGCAGGGGGGGTCGACCCCCCTTTCCAAATCTCCAGACGACTCTAAACGCTCGCTTAGCCTCGGTTGAGGTCCGCGTATCAAACCTGCCATCAGCACCTGCTAAATTGAGCGGTCCGCTCGCCATAAATGGAAAGCGACCTCATGGTCGTGACTTGCAGTCGTCGAGCGTTGGTCTGGCATTACGGATGGGAGGAACGGTTCTATTTTGCCATTGCACCGTGGCAGCGAATGTGACCAGGTACGCTGATGGCGTTTAGAACTGCGAAATCTAGGATTTTGGCTTACGGGAAGTCATCCAGTGCCGAAATCTGATTCTCCGGAGGCCTTTCGGTAAAATGGGTGGAACGGCATGTCTTATCTCTGGCCGTAGACAGCCTACACCGGCACATGGATGTGCCATTAGAAAGATGAAGGAAGAGACGGGGTCCGTATGTGACTAGGACCTCTCCTTCATATCCTGCTAAGTGTACATGCTGAGCGGCGGAGCGACACCTGCTGTGAAGAAAGTGGCAGATATCGATACGGACGATCTCCATGACGAGCTTCTTGCTTGCCGCCGGGATGCATTTGATCTACACAAGTTGCCGCCGGAGATGGCACGCGGAGACGGAAGTGGTGTCGGTGCAGTCTCCTCATCGGACGTTAAGACAGCCCCAGCTACAAATGCAGCTACATATGATTATAATTTAAACAGATTGACCATAGTCAAGCGTACGTTGCAGGTTCATTGTATATAACATCCCAGCATGCATCGCTCGTTTTATTGAGTGATGACGCGCGCCATAGCACTGTACACAATGCCACACTTTTGCTGCCGGGTGTGCTCCTGGTACCCAGAGGATCCTGGTTTGCTGATCAAACTATATGTAAATTGAGATGACTAGACACTTGCATAGATCACAACGAGATACACGAGAGTTGGATCTCGGATTGCCGGGTTTTAGATCTGTCTTCGCTCCCAGGTATCTAGTCTCCCAAGAATCTGCGTAAGGCATGTCTAGCCCACTGAACGGCTGGCCCATGCCGTCGGTGGGTTCCACGCAAAAGTCATGGTAGCGTTCCCTCATCCGACAATTGGGCGATGCGAACTCGCGTATGTATTAGTACTCCCAAAAAGCGCATTACACTCGTCTTTGTCCTGTAGTGGCTCTCATGAGCTCCTGGAGCCCATTATGCACAGCCCCCGCTGCGCCCTGACCTATTGTCACAGCGAGCCCCATCGCACCAGCCAAACTTTCAACGCCCTTGGCGGCCGCGCCCCAGATCCTCGCCGCGCTTCCTATCGTGACACGGGGCTCGGCGCCAGCAGACATCATAATCGCTGCCTTGACCGAGTCGAGCTCGTTCACGACTTCCAGTCCGACGGACCGCGCCCACACCACGGGCTCGAGCGTCGACGAGTACAGCTTGTGGAGCTTATCGACGGCCGATAGGATCTTGTGATTCTCAAAGTACCTGTCTTGGGCGTACGGCATGAGCGCCGTGTACGAGCCTGCAGGAGGAGCAATCAGAATTAGACATTCGTCAGAAAAAGACGGCCGACGAACCAATGTCCCCGCCGGTGAGCACGGCGTTCCCGATGCATTCCGCCAGCGATTCGACATCCATCAAGCCCATGTTCAGCCCCTGCCCCGCGAGCGGATGGATGGTGTGCGCAGCATCACCGACCAGGACAGTGCGGCTCCCGGCACCCTCCCCGATGTAGGTATCTGCGTGATTAAATCGCAAGGGGAATGAAGCGACGGTACCAGGCTGGATCGACTTGACCAGCGGCGGATACATCTCCGCGTCCTCTGGGGGTAAGCCCGTGTTATCAACATTCGCCAAACTCGACGAAAGCGCAGAATTGGGAGGAATGGCGTGCGAGCGCTCCCTCCACGCGATCTCTTCTTGAATTTGGTTAGGCGTTATATGCGCCGTAGTGTCCGAAATAAGCTTGTGCAGGTGCCTTATTGACACCTCGGGCAGTCTGAACGCTGCGTTGATCATGCTTGTGAGCACATCAGGATTGGATTTCGTCAGGATCTGAGCGAGGTGCGGACGAGTTGACCAGACAAGGGACGACTCTGTGGGTGACAAGGGGAGGAATGCGATGGGTCCTGTGGGGAGGAAGCGTTGGTAGGCCGTAGTATTCGGGCCCTGCAAGGGCGAACGAGGCTGGTGGGATAGCGTCGCTACGATAGCTTGAGTAGGGTACGCCCAGCCATAAGAGGATATACCGGCATATGAGCGGACGGGCGAGTTGAACCCATCTGCACCAATCTAAATGACGAGATGTCTACGTGTTCATGAACAAATAACGAATGCCTACTTACGAGAAGTCTTGCCCGGAGGACCCGCCCGTCCGAGAGATGGACAAGGGGCCAGCCGCCACCCTCCCTGTCCTCGCGGATTATAGAGCTCACTTTCGTCTTATCGAGTAGCTGCACTTCGGAGACGGATGAGAGATGGCGAAGTAGGGCCCGCTGCAGGTTCAGGTTCTCCGTCATGCGGGCCATTTGGGGCACTGACGACCCATCTTGGGTGGGATGCCTGAAACCCAGCTCGGATGCGACATACGTAATGCGTGCATCAGAGATGCCATCCCATACCTGTGCACCTTGTCATGAAAGGAGAATAAACAGATGAGAAATGTGTACCTGCATCTCTTCCATGGGTGCGGTCCGCGTCTCATCCACGTACCTCCATGCCCCGATACCTAGAGCCATATCAGCACCCCGAGTCTAGCATCATCCCCATCCCACGACTTACTCTCCAGAAAATATTGGGAAGCATTCGTTAAGGAACTGACACGGTTAGAGAACGAACCCGCCGGAAGGTGCCATTCCCGGATTTTCGCCAGATCTCCCGCTTCAATTAACGCGACCTTCGTGGTCTGCCGGACATGGGGTTTCGACCCTAGACCGAAAGTCTGCAAAGAGGCGTTGTGCAAGGATAAAACGCGTACCTAGGGCGCTGGCGAGCGCGAGTCCTGCCGGTCCTCCTCCGACGATGACTACATCGTAGTCTTCAGGCCTGCTGTCGGTGTGAAGCCGTGCTCGGTCTGCTCTTGCTACTAGAAGCTTATTGTATGGGCGAAAGCCCTTGGGGGCAGCGCGAGAGCTACATGACAACATTGAGCTAAGATGCCGGTGAAAGGCTGAAGGCGGCTGTATCTACCTCAGGCCCGCCACTTTCAATACGTACACTTCCTCCCATCTAACATAGAACACTGGCCCGGGATGACTTGAAACATTGTGTTTACATACACTAGTCAGCTTTTATTGGGAGCATGACGCAGAAGAGCAAGACGAAGTCCGTGTACGGAGCCACACCGTACTTACCACTAAACTGACAATATTGACTAAAATCAGCCGTTCCGAGGGTAGCAACTTGAATAAGAATACATGAGGACAGTATATGCACAAGATGCCAGACGGGATGCCAAAGTGCGTAAAGATGTGAATGGTCCAGAGTGTACCCATAGCAAGATGACCCAGAAACCGAGCCGGGAAATGTGCGAAGGTCAGTGAGGAAGCGGTGCTACTGGAGATGGCAAAGCGTAACGAGTGAGGGCGTGCAATGAGGGCGCGCGGCGTATGGCTCGTGCGAATCGTGAGAGGTGCAGGGAAGGTTCAGGTTGCGTGATCTATGATTAAAGTGAGAAGGATGAAGAACATACAGAGCATAAAATTGTCCCGAAGTGAACTGGATAGAATGAGATGAACCAAGTCGTACAACCATTAACGTCGCCTCTGTTGCTGATAGTAGGCAAGAGGGACGTCCTCTTCACTTCCGGAGATGCCATCACTAGTCCTTGGCCTATGGTTGCTGGGCACGGCATGTGCACTGGAGACCTTCCTGATCTTCCCATTCATGGGAGGCATGGGCGGAGGAGCAGCATTTGCAGACATCGAGCGTGTGGGCTTCATGCCGCCTGTTCCATCGATAACATGGTTCTCCAGTACTGGTGTATATCGATTGTGTGGTGGAGGCGAGCGAGACTGTCGAGCGCTGAGAGGCGGAGGCGCTGCTGCTGCCGATGTATTAGAATTGGGTGGCGACGTCGCTCGCGTAGATGATGGAGAGGCAGGTCCGCGAGAAACCGGTGCGGGGGCTGGCGAGGACGCAAACCACGACTGGTCGACACTTACACTAGTTACCGGCGGCATGGCACCCGGAGGTAGCTGGGGTGAGACTGGCCTAGGGCCGACTGACCGTTGTTCAGGGCCAGAGGAAGCATCGTAGTAGAAATCGTTCGGCAGCTGGACCTGAGGAGGGCCCGAGTGGGGTTGCGAGTAGAGCGGCGCACCTTGACTAGGGCCCTGGGAGCGAGCCGAATATCCCCCAGAGTACCCACCAGATCCGTTGATGGGAGGCGCCGAAGATGCACGACCCATAGGTGCAGATCCAGGACCATATCCCGGAGAGCCGCCATACTCCTGCTCCATTGCCCGGTGTTGAAGTTCATACTGCGGGCCACGAACAGGCATCTCCGCACGTCGCCCTGGCGTCCCGGAAGCACCGCCTTTAGTCAAGCTGCCCCGGCGCGGTTGCGTCTTGGACTCATTCCGTTCCATCTCCTTCTCCCGCTCGGCACGTTCTCTCTCGGCCCTCTCCCGTTCTTCCCGTTCTCGCTGCTCCTGCTCGAGCTTCTCCTTCTCTGCAGGGCTTGGCCCTTGCGGAGATTGGCCATTCGCAGCAGCCTGTGGCTGAGCAGTGCCCTGATTCTGCGTCTTGTTGATGACTCCCAAATACCAGAACATCAAATTACTTATCAACACTTGTTCATATAGTGGACGTCGAGGGTTGGCGAGCTTGATATGACTGAGTCGGTATATAGCTCGCTCAACATGGATGGGGTATCGCGCGTAAGGACCGCCTGGTTGGGGTGACGGAGAAGGTGCAGGAGACTTGGATGATTTCGAGGCACCAAGCAGTGCGATTGCAGCCTCGCGACCAGACGCATGGCCAAGATTTGACTGTGGCTGCTCCTCCTGCTTCTTTTTGTTGCCGAATAACGAACCGAAAAAGCCCTTTTTCTCCTTCTCCTTCTGCTCCCGATATTCCCTGTCCTTCTCCTTGGCACCTTTCTTGCTACCCTTGTCACCGCCCCACTTGAATAGCCCCTTATCGTCCTTATCTTTATCCTTGCGATGTGAGGGACTCGGAGTGCGCGGAGGCGGGGAAGGGGTGGAAAGGAATGCGGGTTGCTGTACTTGGCCTGGGTGGGATAGATTGGTTTCTATAGATGGTGACATGGGCTCAGGGGAAGGGGTGCGTGAAGTTGCAGGCACTTCGGGTGACGCAGGCGGCTGCAGCAGCCGTTTGGGCTGCGGATGATGTAGAACGGGCCCTTGCAGCTCGGAAGGGGCTGGTTCTGACTCCGGTGCCTTCGGTTCAACAAGTATGACGGGTTCCGGTGCAAGAGGTGCAGAACGTGCGGGAGGTGATGTTACTGCGGCATGGGGTGTCTCTTCCTCAGGCTCCTCAGTAACGTAAGCGTCGAATATAGACGACTCCTCGCTGTAGGATTCAGGCCTTGAAGGCGCATCGATCGTCTCGCTAGTCATACGACGTGGCCGCTTCAAGTGGTCGCCATCGCTGTGATCATTCGAAGATAGATCACTAGACGTCCGAGTATCGCCCGGCGGTGCTGTGGGAGCTCTGCCTCCAGGCCCTGACTTACGACGGGAGCGAGTAGTCTGGAATCGATGGCTACCTTCCGTAGTTTGACCAGGCTTCCGAATCTTTGTCCTGGCGGTCCGGCGCAGAATCTGCCCGGGAGGAGGAACAATAATGGGGGCATCAGCTTCGTCTCCCATGCTTGGCATGTCATCCATCTGGTCGATGACTGCATACGGGGCACAGGGTTAACGGAAGGAACGTCCCTTGTGATGGCAGAACACACCTGAGGGTGCAATATTCATGCTGAGACTCCGCCTAAGCACACTTCTCAGCTTCGAAGGATCGTCACTCTTAGACGCCTCGTCCGCAAGTTCCTCGAGTTTCTGCAGATCGCTGATAGTGAGTTGCGGGCCCGCGTTGGCATAATAGCTGCTCCGATCTCGGCGAAGGGGGACTACTACTTCCTCTTCCTCCACCCCGTCGTTCGGCCGCGGCTTGTATTGCTTGCGTAGCATAGACTGCTTCCGCCCGAGCCCTGTAGACGAAGCTGAGCTAGACCGCGAAAGCGTGACATTACCATCTGGGGGGGCGCGCGCATGCTCTTTCAAGAACGCGCGGAACTGATCTGGTGCAATCTCGGGGTGCAAGCTCGCGGGCACCCAGAAGAGATGGAAGGGGTCCTCCGCTGGGCTCTCGCGCCCCGACGCCGACTCATGCGAGCTGCTGCTGGAGTCGTCGACAGCTGTGCTGCTGCTGCCGCTCCAGGAGTGGGGGGATGGCGGGGACGACTGGCTGGGGAGATCCGGGTCTAGCAGGAGGGCGCCAGGACCGCCCTGGGCAGTAGAGCGCCGCTTGATGTCCCGTAGAGCTTCGACCTCTCGCTGGATCTCATCCTCGGAGGGTTGCATGGGGATACTGCAAGAGTGCGCCGCGGGTCAGACAGAAGAACACGGCCAGCAAGCACTCAAAACTGACCAAGCGGGCTGACTGGCGGTACCAAGTAGACGAAAGGGCGTCCGTCGTGGCGGCAGACGACGAGGATGAGTTGTAACTGAATATTACAGTGTGCCCAGAGAGAGAGGCCGAAACAGAAGCTCCGGTTGCCGGCCGCAACCCGGACTGGCGTCGGCCATGCTTCCTCTTACAGCTCCGGTGGCTGAAAGGCCTCCTGCTGCACAAGGCTTCAAGCTATCGATTAGCAGGCGCCGTCTTCACACCGCTCTTTATCTTGACTGATACATCTAATCACCACGGACATTGTAACAAATAGCTCTGACTTTCCGTAATTTCAACTCCCCAGCCGAATTAAATGATTCTCGACTTCTCAACTGTCCTCTGCGGGTCCGACGAGAATACCGGACCCCTTGGTGAGAAAGTTCAGAAACGGGTCGGCATCCAACAAGCCGTGGTACAGTGCTCAGGAACGCTTTTGCCGTGAACATGCGTGCTGCCTGCCGCACAGATGCTCTTATGTTGACCGCTCTGCGGTCACAAAGACACGACACCACGCTCACCGAGGCAAGGCCGGGATCCATCAATAGCTGAGTGAAACCGTGGAGTCGAACATACAGCAGTGCTTGCAATGGCAGGCAGCGACAATGGAGCACTGACGTTTCAGCCATCCCAATCGAATTTAGAGAGCAGTGTTTATTTACGGGACGTTGAATGAATCACCCAGATCGAGGGCACGTCTATCATACCTGTTCACCTTGAAGTGGGAACAACGAATGGTTCAGTCGCAAAGCAAGACGTCGCGGCTTGGTATGCTCGGAAAACTGTGACATGATGGACGACTTGGAATGACTATTCATCTTACAGAAGCAGGACCACCACCAGCCTGAGTTACCTGCTCATCAAGCTGGTTCTTTGAGCGCCCGGAACGCGGGAGAGTATGATGTATGATGATGCGTTGGCCATCTAAGAATGCAAGACACTGTCACTGGGCTGTACCAGGAATAACGCCCCCAAGACAATGTTGGCTCGAGCAAAGGCCGAGGATGTTCAGTTGGCCGGAGTCAGAGTGTGGGTAGGGATTCAGATGCTGCCCCATTGTCTAATAGTGTAATCGAGTAGTCGATACAATAACAATAATCGAGGGATGAGATAGATCGAGGAAAGCTCAACCCGAATGAGCCCGCGAGCCAGAGGGCCGTCCTCCGGACTAAAGAACGGTATTGAACGAGTCAAGTTGCAAGAATAGCTATAGCCGTAGCATCGGCCCCTGCGCCATATATGTCCGCACTCGATCCTAGGTCGGCCCTTCGATGTGTGTATTGACCAGGAGGAGCACAGTGTCTATTGATAGGCTCGCCAGGAGATCCCGACGTACGTTCCTGTCCAGTTTATTTCCAGCGGTCAGTCAACTTCCTGTGATGACCTTGAGCGAAGAGGTAGTTAGAGTATAAGATCCCAGCGCACAAGCGGGGGGATCTTGTACCCTAGCATATTTACGTATGCGTTGAGGCCTGAGGATTGAAGAGAGAGTTCAGTCAGTGAATTCAAACGGGCAGACAGGGATATCCAATTCTCCTTGGGCCCGGGCTTTACAAGGGAGTAAGGCACTGTACCATCGACCGGGACGTCCGTCTCGCAAAGGAGGCTGCATCCTCCTCCTGCTGCAGACTCCTGTTTGCATGCTCCACTCAAGTACGACGGTGCAAGTTATCCCGGGACCAGAGCACGATCAGAAAAGCCAGCACTGCGATCGAGTTCTGACGAAGTCGAAGCCCAGGCCTGGCCCGCACCTGGAGATCCAAAGAGCAGACTGAAAACTCAGAAAGGGGGGGCGCGAAATAAACTCAAGGGCGTCGAGATTCCGGAATGCTGGCATCGTCTTCTGCTGGGTCGTTTTGCGCCTTCCAGCAGATCTCGCCCGTGTGCGCTGTTGCTAGGGGCGATTTTTTCCTTTCCAGCTTTTGAGTCCAATCGGCGCCTACAACCGTGTGGACGAAGGGCGGGCTCATCCAATCATCCTTCGCCGTGGCATCAGGTCCGTGAGAAGCATGATTGCCTTTTCGAGCGATGTGGCGGAAGAGTCGCAGGCGTACAGAGCGATGAGGACAAGTTCGTGGGCCGGTGGAAAGCCTGGGATTCGAGTGTATATACACTGAGGACGATTGGACAAGGTGGGGAACGCCTGCATCAATACCACTGCCTCAAAGTCGACGTCGAGCTCACTCGAGATGATGCAGACGACACGACCAGATAAGGGAACTCAGCGAACATGGACAGTGGGGGTGCTTCTCTGATGCTCGTACCTTGATATATCAGAGCAGACCAGTCGACGACGTTGACTCTGCAGAGGTAGACGGCGACCATGAGGCAGTGTGGCGTAACCCAAGCTTTGTGGGTACATGTACGTACAAATGCGCGTTATTGAGGCCGAAGACTGGAATACAACGCAGTCAAGAGCGAACAATGGGTATGAATGGACAGCTGCTGCGTCAGGGATTGTTGTTGGCGGCAAGGAGGTGCTCGAGGACGTCGAGGACGGCCTGCATAAATACGAGAAACGCGTCGGACAGCGATCAAGGGAAGCGTAGTGCAAGTGTAGCCGAGATCTGGTTGCTCGGTGCGTGGGCGTGAGGAGCCGGTCGTCGCTTAGGACGGGGTTGCTGCTACGGGAAAACAGGAAATATACGAGCTCGATACGCGCTCGACGGCGTCCATTCTCTTTCCAATCCTCTGCGCAGACCGCGGCGGACGCTGCCCAAAAGAACACAGGCCGGTGCCGGACACGCTAATTGACAGGCTGGATGACGGGCCCAGCAGGCGCGGGATGGGCTGCCCCGAGCCAGAACACCCACGGCCATCACGTCCATCACCAGCTCCCTGCCTCTGCATACACAAGCCCCCGTCTCGCCCCCAAGCCCCCGCCCTTCAAGTTCCCCTTCTCCAACGCCGTCCACCGCCCCCCGCCAAAGTCCACGTCGTCCGCGTCGTTGCGCTCGGCCTACACCGTCTCGTCACAGACGACCTCCTATACCAACACGACCGAGACGCAGAACCCACACCCCTTCGCCGCCATGGTCCCCGCCCCGCTGCCTGTCGTTTCCAGCCACGACGATGAGGAAGAGGATGAGTGCCCCGTCTGTCTCGAACCGCTCAGCTTCAGCTTCAGACTGCCAGGGGAGAAGCCGCACATCGTGCCAGAGTGCGGGCACGCTTTACACGAGGTTTGTGATCCATTTACACTTTATCTGGACCCTTATATGCGTCCAATGCCTACCAATCATCCGCTCTTCGTCGGCGTGGCGGCGAACTTCGTCCCCCTTTGCGCAGCCCACTGTTCATCTTCGTAACTACCCTGTCATGATATGATATATCTAACCTACTCGTTCAGGCCTGCTTTACCGCTGTCTACGGTCCACCACCGTCGCAAAAGGGAGCCGTCGTCCGCAAGTCGAACCTCGGCGTCTGCGGCGTCTGTCGACGTCCAATGAAAGTAGGAGATGGCGACGGAGGCAAACACAACAGTATGTAGTGGCCCTTTGACTCCCTCACGCCTACTAACTCCCCGCAGAACTCGCTGCCCTTACTGGCATGGGCGAGCGCAACACACCCTCTCTCTATCCCGGGCGCGACACCCCCGCCTCCGTGCGCTCGCTCAACGGGCGCGTGCCGCCGCCCGGCAAGCCCTACGACCCCACCGAAGACGACCCAATCGAGCACACAGGCTCTATGCGATCCGGTGGTTCCAACGAGCACGCGCACTACGTCGTCGCGCCGTCCATCCAGGTGCGCGCCGAGCACCCGACGCTCACGCGCACGACGGACGAGAGCCAGCCGCTCACGTGCATCGTCGTCGTCGAGCTCCCCGGGAAGCGCAGCACGCCCCAGCCGGGCCCGGTCATGAGCGACAATTTCAGGAACCACATCCGCCAGGACACAATCAACAGCGCGTTCTCGAGCCCGCGGCCGGAGCAGCGCTCGATCCGCTCGCCGCCGCCCCAGCAGCACAGTCACATCGCGCACCACACGCTCGACACCTCGGACGGGTCGGGCCACCAGCGCAGCCCGAACATGAACCTTATGTCGCCGACCTCGACGCACGACACGCACCACTCCGGCTCCGGGCACTCGCACCGCGACGACGGCGACTGGCACGCGGAGCCGTCGACGTCCGCGAAGGCACCGTCGACGAGCTCGCAGTTCCACGACGAAGATAACCCGTTCGCGGCGATTACGGAGGACCTGCGCAACCGCATCATCGACTGGAAGGGCCACCCGCTTAGCCGGTTGGGCCCGCTGCAGATGTACGACCTCCTCTCCGTGCGACGCGACTCGCTCGTGCGTGAGTTCTACGTGTACCTGTTCAAGGAGGCGATTATATGCGTCATCGAGGAGAAGAAGAAGTCGATTGGACGGTTCTTGCAGACTGCCGGCGGCGCAGAGGGCGGCGCAGGCGCGCAGGCGGCTTCGGGCAAGGGTGTGCTCCGGCTGAAGGGCAGGATTTATATCCAGCACATTAAGCAGGTGACGGATACCTCCAGCGCCGGGGAGATGAGCTTGACGATTGATATGGAGGATGAGCGGTTGGATTCGTTCATTCTCATCTTCCGTGAGCGCTCGTCGCTCGAGACATGGAAGAACCACATCCAGTCTCTGGTTTCCATGTTCCAGCAGCAGAACCAGCAGAACCAGACTCGGCAGGAGCTCGCGCCGGACCTGGAGGAGTTTGGCGGGAGCGCGAAGGCCGCCAGGATGCTCAGCGGGAGCACGATGTCGACCACTGTGAGTACGGTCGATAGCCTTCTGTCGGGATCGGCGACGCGGTCGACGATGTCGAGCAGCACGTCGCATGGGTCGATGGGTGTTGGTGTTGGAACGGCCAGGGGGGCCCTGCAGCATAAGCTGTCGACGCTAGAGGAGGCCGACGACGAGGCGAGCCGGTTCGACCCTCATTCGAATCTCGTCACCCCGCATCTCTCGTCTGGTCCCTCGAATTCCCTGACACCCCTTCCTCACCCGCCTCTGGATCTCATCCTCGTCATCTCCCTCCCATCGCCCAACTCCGTCCCCAGCACCGCCCAGCTGAAGATCCGCGTGATCAAGAATACCCTAGACTTTGTTATCGGCTCCTTAGGCGCCAAGGACAGGTTGGGCTTGGTGACGTTTGAGGTCGGCATGGGTGGGCGGGTTAGGAAGACACCGTTCTTGTGTGTTGGGCGGGCTCAAAGCCGCGCGAGGCTTACAAAGTTCGTGGATGAGATTGGAATGCGGAGGCAGGAGGAAGCGGAGTACGAGGATGAGTTCTTGGTTCGCGGAAATAAAGATGAGAAGACGGATGTCGTGACCGCGGTTAACCATGGTAAGCAGTTTAGTAAGTTGCCCATCCTTCCCTCGATATAATATCCGCTTTCCTAGGCCTCGACATTGTGTTGCAACGCAAGGCTCGCAATCCCATTACGGGGATGCTACTGGTGAGCGACTCGTCGGAAAGTACGCGTCGTGCCCAGATGGACCTCGTACTTGCCCGAGCGGAGGCTGCCAATGCTCCCATCCACTCCTTCGGCTATGGTCGATCACACGATCCTGCTTCCCTTTGGTTGATCTCTAACCATACCAGTGGGACCTACGTCTATGTCAAAGACTGGTACGACCTGCGTGACTGCGTCGCTGGATGCATCGGCGGCATGATGTCCATCGGGCTGCTCAACATGAAGCTGCACATGAAGATCCTGGACGGACACCGGTTCCGCATACGCAAGGTCTCCGGTGGGCCTACTGCCATTCTATCCTCTGACGGCCGCGACGTCGACGTCGAAGTCGGAGAGTTGCGGTACGGCGAGAAGAAGGAGATGCTGGTCGAGCTGGAGCTCGACAACACAGACTTGACGCAGTCCAGACTCACGCATAGCAACAACAATCGGTCGATGAATGCGACAGACCAGTTCAATGCCCGCATGGGTCTGGAGTCGTTGTCTATTGAAGATCCCCTCGACCTCGCAGACGGCATGATGGATCGTATGATCGACGAGGTGCCGGTCTTCGAGGTTGACGGGTCGTTCTTTGATCCTCAGGCTACCAAGCACGTTTCACGCTTGGCGCATCCCGTCCTCCTTACCGTCACGCTCCTGCCCCCTTCCGGCAGTCGTCCAAGGACACCGTCCAGTGGCTCTGATCCTGTAATCGTGCGGCGTCGCATGGAGTTACTGGCGTCAGATATGATCACTCGGGCTCTAGTCCTTGTGTCCCGCAAGAACTATCCTCAAGCCATGAAGATCATGAGTGAGACAAAGCGCATCCTGCATACTGTTCTGCAAAATGTCACGCAATCCCTTCCACCGCCTACCAGCGGAGCGAGTACGATCCGCAACCGGAAGGAAATATTGACTCTTGCTACCGTGCGCACTATCCAGGCTATCCTACAAGATATGCAGCTTCTCCACGAAGCCTTGGAAGACAATGTTGAACTGTTTGCCCACGACCAGCGGAATTTCGGTGCCCAACAGGTATGTACTAACGTGTTCCGGAGGAGGCTAGGCTTTACTGATCATTCTCGTGCAGGCAATGATACTCCGCGACCAAAAGAGCTGGACTGGCCGTAGTGCTACTGAGCGTCTCTTCTGGACGAGCGACAACTCAATTGAGCTGGTCTCACGCAGTACTGATTGGGTCGCCCGGGATTGAACACGACTCGCACTGCTCTGGCTCACTAACACCCTCATTTGAATTTCTGACTTGCCTACGCCTCTACCATCCGTTGGTCCTCCTGTCATTTCGATCTCTCTATTACTGTCCGCCGCACCTGTCGTCCCTCGCTCGTTCCGTTCCTCTCCGTTCTGTATCGACTTGCCTCGCTTTCTCATTCTTATTCTTATCTCTACACTCACCGACTTTTTGTGTAATAACTTAAGAGAACATTCCTTTGTCCTTGGTCTTGGTGGATTGTGACATTCTACTAGTTAATTAGCGCTCGGCCTTGCGATAGATGCAATGGCGGGATGTTACCCTGTCGTGTTATATCTTGGATCTCTGTCCTTCATATGTCCTATGAAAATATTGTATCATGCCCCCATCCATCCTGATCGTCGCTGAGGACATAGCCCATTCCAGTGGAAGCCTGATTGGACTTCTTCACTAGGTTTGTCTTCGGCGAAGTCGCCGACCTCCATGGGAATGACGTGAGCTGCAACCTTTTGCTAGAAACCAGGGCCAACGGGATTGCTGTCAATGGGCGTCGAATGGCGGGAGGTGGTGATGTGAATAATCACGACCTGCTACCAGGAACCTGGTCGGCCCGGTGGATCATTGCCGGACGTCAGGCTCTGCATTCTGCAATCACCACTTTGCAATATATCATTCAAAACCCAAGCGTCTCTTCTCTTCTCGCTCCCGCTCCAGCTTGGTCACTCTGATCTCGGCTTCGGTGATAGTATCGTTCCAATCAACGAACAACTCAGACAGGGCATCGACCTGACCGAGTGTTAACATACAGCTGTCATATGATAGATGACAATAGCTTACATGGGAAGCATATCTCTCCATCAACTTTGCAACGCGACGTTCAAGGTCATGAGCCATCTTCACGTCCTCTTCGTGCGCCTTAATCAACGCGTCCAGACGGGGCTGAAGGGCTTGGTAACCTAATGGCAGGATAGCAGTTGAGGCCTCAAACCGGCAGGTAGGATGTAGGAGGAAGGAGTGTACCTGCTAGCTTTCCAGCACCTGTGACGCCTTTCTTCTCTAATATTTCAATCTCCCGCATATCGCGGTCAGCAGAGCGAATCTCGGGCTCCATTTCGGAAAGGAATGCCTCCAGTTCGCTCGGTGACATGTTCTCATAGGAGGGCGGGTTTATGGGTATAGTACCCGACAGGGCGAACGATGGGCTCAGGAACTGAGCATACTGGTCGTCTGAGACAGTTGTAAGACCACTGAACGGAGAGTGCGGGGAGGATATGCGATGTAGACGTACAGTGCTCCATAAACCTCTTCAGCCCATCGTTCCCCTCGACGACCGCATCCAGTTTTGCCTGTGCCTCCTCAGCTCGCCGGGCAAGGGTCTCCCCCTTCTTCAGATCGATGCCCTTCTCTTTTCCCTTACGATTCAATGCGTCCTGGCGTACTCCATATAGCAGCGCTTCCAGCCATCGTATGCGTAGCTCTAGAGACTGGGCCGGTTCAATTGTAACAGGGCGAGCCGGTGGCTCCTCCTCAGTCTCCGAAGGATGTTCAGGAAAGGTAGGGAAACCTCGGGGAGGTGGCGACTGGGACGGGAGAGGGGAAGTCGGCGGGGTCGAAGAAGACAAGACGCGTTGGCGCTGCACGTCACCCAAGAAAACGCTGCCGATATGGCTCATCCTTCTACTTCCTCAAGCTTGTGCAAAGCACTGGGCGACAGCAGATAAATACGCAACCTAATGTGGCCAGTACGGGTATTGTAAGAGCAAGGTTGGGCAACAGCGTCCAGACTCCACACGCGACGTGACGAGACGCGACTGACTTGAAGTATACCGGACTCGGGAGGGCACATACAAAATACCAGTTGCAGCAAAACAAACAACAAGATGGAATATAATGTACGCTATAATACATGCGTAAGGAGTGGGTGTTTGGTATGAATAAATAACCCAGCAAGAGACTCCTATACCCTGTCAGTCATCTCCATAGGCAACTGACTGTACCCAGCAGCAGCTTTGTCCCTACTAGGAATTAGACCCCGCAAGCTCTCCATGAGATCACTCAGCACTGAGCGTGCACTGTCCATGACGGTCTCCCCCGTTATCTTCTCGCCAGGCATGACGCTATCGAGCGGTCGTCTCCACCACCTGAGTGTTAGAGAGCTCGTCACCACGCTCACGCTCGAGAACGCCATGGCAGCACCTGCCATCATGGGGTGCAGGTACAAACCGAAGGGGAGGAAGAACCCCATGGCTAGGGGGATGCCGAGGACATTGTATATGCACGCCCACACCAAGTTCCTCCGAATAACGGCAAAGATGGAGCGAGACAGATGTAATGCAGCGACAACGTCAAGCAGATCCGACCTCATCAGGACAATATCTGCAGCTTCAATGGCCACAGATGTGCCGGAGGATAAGGCGATCCCAACCGATGCGGCGACCAGCGCTGGTGAGTCATTGATACCATCTCCAACCTACCCGCATTATTTAGTGCATTGTATGAGATATATCGAGCTCGAACATACCATTGCGACGCCTCCGCCCTTGGACATGAGGTCCGTCACGACAGACGCTTTGCCCTTGGGACTCATGCTAGCCCAGACATTCTCCGGTTTGATGCCAACTTCCTTCGCAATAGCTATGGCGGTCGACATCCCGTCTCCTGTAAGCATACTGACCTCCACACCCATGCGCTCCAGAGACTGGATAGCCCGCGCGGAGGACGCCTTGGGTGTGTCAGACAACGAGATACCTAGCACGGCCAGAGGTCGGCGGCTAAGTGAATCAGTGCTTATGCCAACGAAGATCATCGTCCGCCCTCGACTCGTCTCTTTTTCCTGGACATGAGAGAGTGCCGAAGGGATGTACCCATCCTCCGACTGTGTTACAAACCGAGCGTTGCCAACGAAGACGGTGTACGTCGGCTTCAGATTGGAGACCTTCACGGTAGCCTTGACCCCCGCGCCAGTGACGCTCTCGAAGGTCTCGACAGTAGCTTCAGGTAACTCCATGTTGGATTTGGACAGGAGGTCTTTGCCATACACCGCTACCGCTTTGGCCAAAGGATGTTCGGAGCGTGCCTCCGTGGCAGCAACCATAGCAATCACAGCCGCTCGAGAAGTAATCCCGTCACAGCTCATAGACCCTAGAGACGCCTGTTCAACGAAAGGAGTGGCGGGAACGTCCGCTTCTGTCTGGCTGTCCGAAGGGGCCCACGCTAAAGCGACAACAGTCATCTTTCCCTCCGTGACTGTACCGGTCTTATCGAGAACGATTTTGCGGATACTCCGACTGGCCTCAAGCGCCCGCCCACCTTTGATGAGGATGCCATTCTTCGCTCCCACACCGGTGCCCACCATGATAGCGGTCGGCGTGCTCAGACCCAGCGCACACGGGCAAGCCACTACCACGACGCTAATGCACATCTGCAGACACACAGCGAGCTTTGTCGACCCGTGCCGCTTGAACATTTCCGGGAGATCCTCGTCGGTCATAATATGTGAGATTATGATCCACGCCGTGAACGTGATCACTGCCAAGGAGATGACGGTGGGCACAAAGTACCCCGCGACCTTGTCAGCGAATGCTTGGATGGGTGCTTTGGAGGTCTGGGCTTCCTCTACTAGCTTCACTATTTGCGACAGCGCGGTGTCCTTGCCTGCACGCGTGACGACCATATCGAAGGTGCCCAACCCGTTGACGGTGCCACCAATGACACTATCGCCCACCTGCTTGATCACAGGCACCGGCTCTCCAGTGACAGCGCTTTCATCCACACTCGATGACCCGTTGACGACATTCCCGTCCGCAGGAACTTTGTCGCCGGGAACCAGCTTGCATATGTCTCCCACCTGAACAAGTTCAGTAGGAATCCGCTTCTCCTGTGTACATGCCGGTGGATCGGTATATATTGTCGCCATGGACGGCGCGAGGGCCATCAAGTCTGTCAAGGCTGCGCTTGTCTTCCCCTTGGCCCTATTCTCCAAGAACCGACCAAGAGACACGAACATGATCAGCATTGTACTGGTGTCGAAGAACACGAAGGGGCGGTAACCAGGTTCGGTGTTGAACATGGCAAAGAACACGGCAAATAGGGAGTAAAAGTACGCAGCGGACGTGCCGAGCATGACAAGCACGTCCATCGTGGCTGTCTTATGCATTAGCGACTTGTACGCGTTGCGATAGAATTTAGCGCCGATCCAGAATTGGGCTGGAGTAGTAATGAGGAGAACCAGTAAGTCCCCAAGGTATACCGCATTGCATATTCGGAAATCCACAATGGGGCGGAGGAACGGCATGCGGGGTGCAATCATACCAATGAAGAACACGGGTACGGCGAATGTGAGCGCCCATTGGAACCGACTCCGCCATTCCTGGATCTCCTTCATACGAGTCAGAGATTTCAGCTGAGTGGAGTCCTCTTGGTCCGACAGCATCGCGTCAAAGCCCATCTCTTCGATTCGCTCGACCATCTCTCTCGGTCCAATCAGAGTCCGGTCAAATTCGACCTTCGCGGTTTCTGTGGCGAGCGAAACCGCGACGGAGTTGATTCCGGGCAGAGCGCTCAACTGGGTTTCCACAGTTGACGTGCAGGATGAACATGTCATGCCGTATATTCGGAGAGTGACCACGTCTGAGCGTGCTGGAGGTATCACAGTCGCGTCGAAACCTATGTCTGATATTTCCTGTAAGATGCAATTGATAAGAACCATGGTCATTCGAACATTGACAGGCAGACTCACATTAACGAGCTTCTCCGGCGTCCAGGTATTGGGGTCATATTCGATGGTTCCCCGCTCTGCAAGCAGCGCAACTTTGATAGAGTGTATACCGGGTTGATTGCGGAGCATGCCTTCGATAGACTGGGCATATATCCGCGTCAGTACACTTCTCGATCATCGACCATTGTGCTCAGCAAAGAATCACATCAGCCCTCACAAGCTCCCCGCGGGCACAGATATTCACGCTCCTCAGCATACCAGACGAAGCATTCGTCCGCATCGTTGGTAATAGCAGTGCGCACAAATGCCTCGCCTGGACGTCTCTGAGAAGCCTGATCACATTAGTCATTGTAGTGCAGAAAGGACTCGTGGCAGGGTGGAGGCGAACGGAGTGTCCAGGTTGTAGAGCCTTCGTACCACAGTTCAAAGCAATACCATGATGGGCTAACTCACCTCCACACAGGACCCACAGGTCATCCCTTCAATCCGCAGCTCACACTTCGCAACCGCATCTCCACTGGTCTCCTTGTTGGCAGTCAAAGGCTCGTTCTCGTCCACATGCAGTTCAACCGGCTTGAACGCCGAGGTCAGAGGTGTCTTGGGCAGCAGATTGAGTGCCGCAGAGAGAATCGACATTTTGCCACCGGGTTCGTCAGGCGATAGGCTAGCTTCGAGTGACGGTCACCGAGTGAGCTGGCGGCAAAATTCCACAAAGGGCGTATAGTACAGGCGAAATGGGAAAAGAATAGAAGGGTAAAAGCTGAGTAGCAGCAAGCGCCTGCGCCGGACGATGTACCAGATTATATAGATGGACAGGTACGTCGCACAGAACACCGAGTAGCTATGGCGCAGGACCTGCCCAATTGAGGCTGACTAAGAGGGCGTGGGAGCCTATCTTCTCCTAATCGGGCTTCTGTGGCGTCTGTTCGCGTTCCATTGACAGCAGTGTATTGACGGCCAACCAGGATCGTGCAAATATGCAACATGGTAGTGCTACAGTAATGTTTCAATACAAAAGCCTGCATGTCTACCCTCGTATTTTTAGTAGGCGAAGCGCCCACCTGAGTCTCTGACAGTTTCGAGAGTTCTCCGAGTCGATAGTAAGAGAAAGCTACGCCTCAGTGTTTGACATGGTGCTACAGCCTGATGTAATATGAGTCAACCAAACGCCCCTTGTATTGGACCAGAATTATTCCGCTATTAGTGTGTGACGCGGCACTCGCTCGATGGAACTGGAAGAGTGCCAGGAGCTTTCGCATTTGCGAGCAGACCCCTGCAGACCCCCGGCGACCATCGGTGTCTTGTTTTACCGGAGATGGCGGACTTACCTGATGTGCCTTGCTCAGCAATTCGCTGCCTTTCGACAATGTTCATCTCGAGGTGCTGTAATCGCTGACAGCTTAAACTGAGACTTGCCAACGGCGACGGTACACGAGCCCCTAAATTTCTGGTATGGCGGACGCCTCACCCACTTCCATCGAGACCAATGCGGGCAAGAAGTTGCCTCCGGGGATGGTCCTAGGACCCGATGGCAAGCCTTGCAAGATTTGTACTGCTTTCAGATATATGAAACCTCCGCAGGGGGGTCAGAATCAAGAGCGCAAGCAGAAGCAAGGGGAAAATGCCAAGATAGCCGCTGCAATGGCAGCAGCAGCCCCGGGCTCTGGAAACACTCCCGATCCCGACGTCCGACCTGAATACTGTCCACCCGACGTAGAAATACTGGGCCGGTCGACATGGGCGTTCCTCCATACGACGGCAGCGTATTACCCGGACAGACCGTCGCCGACGCAGCGAGCGAATATGCTGAACCTACTTTATGCTCTGCCTGTGCTGTACCCCTGTTCGCACTGCGCCTCGCATCTGGGAGAGGAGATGAAGGTCCATCCACCGGACGTCAGTGGGAGGACAGCCCTCAGTCGTTGGCTCTGTGAAAGGCATAACGAGGTCAACGAAAGGCTAGGAAAGGAGAGGTTCGACTGCGCAAAGACTGATGAGCGGTGGAAGGATGGACCTAGCGACGGGAGTTGCGACTAGCCCTGGCATGCATAGATGTACGTTCATCCTTGCACATTCTGCAAGCAGCGTGCTGACCGTATATAGCTCGACCTAGTACATGTAGTAAAGTAATCCACACGAAGTGCACTGACACGGTGCCGAATCCACCTTTGACTTCCCCCTCTTTGCGAAAGTCTGACTTGATTCGCTGCATAACTGACGACAGCTGATGTGCGCCCTGAACTTTCCCTCTCGACACAAACTTAGAAGGTAACCCTACCTAGGTTCCGAAACTTTCGATCAGAGTAGCGTCACGGTGTTAACGTTCTGGGCGACCACCAATTGAATTGGAGGGTGCTTGGACGACGCCTGCTCTCGTTTCCAACGCGCTGCCACAGGTTGCCACATCGTCATACCGTCCTTTCGCTTAACTTTGCGAGTCTCGCGTGCGCACCGATCATTGGGGCAGGAGGGGCGGATCCCTCCCGATCAGGACAACGCACCTCGTCCAAGTTGTCGGGCGTGTGCCAAGGCGTCGGTACGCTCTTTTGTTTCATTGCTCTGTACACACCCTGGTGGTCGAGAGTTTCTGGCGCGGGTTACGCCTCTTGCCGTCGACGTTCATTACGGTTTCCTTATATTCTGGCGTGCCCCTCCACGCCCTCCTCTATTAAGTACTTTGAAATACTTCATGACGGACTCGCTTGAGGACCTTCAATTAGTGAAGGACGTCAAATTAATTCGGCTTTGCCAGCGTACGCCCTTCTTTTCCTTGGTCTCCATCGAGAATGCTTGACGGAATGCCTGTCAAGTTGTCGCGACATTCCTAACATTTTATGACCATTGTAAGTGGAAGTAAATATATCGTGGGTCCCAGTCTTCACCTCCTGCGCGCAGTAATTACTCTGGACCGTGAAGTACGTATGCGAAGTGTTGTTTCCCTCTGTTAACTTCTAATAATATTAACGAAGGTTGAGCTCATATGGGTAAGCTCGCCACTCTGCCGATGCTACATAACTCTCACCATAGTTAGATGAAACGTTGGTCGCTATCGAAATTGCTGTTTATTGTGGTAAGCTTCCGTTCCTTCGCAGCCGCCCTTCTGTTCAGCTGCGCTTGCGTTCAAGAATCGCTATCTCGGTGGAGCGGTTATGTTGTGAGCACCTGTTTCGTATTAGTCCTATAAGGTCAGAAACTGAATCTGGTATTCACAGATGTGATGCTATTGGTATGTATTGGCGCGTACAAGCCGAGCATACAGTGTCCTAACGAGACCCAGTATTCGTCAAAATGAAATTGTCCGATGCAGTCAGTAATCCACACAACCCCCTACATATATGGAGTTTGACCGCTGTTCCTAGGGGTAAGCTCGAGATCTGTGATCGTGCAGCTTGGTCGTAATGTTCTGTACCCGTGCCCTTGGGAATACCTAGATGTATGTATTAAAATCTCTACGTCCTGTTCCGGATGCTCACAAACTCTCAGGTCATAATTTCTTCATCTTTCAGGGATGGGCAAGCGCCTGTGTGGTGTGGGCAATGCAGGGTCAGGGTCTATGGCGCCGCAAGTTGTGAATTTTCTGATTAAAGGCTCCTGCAGTCATCATGCAACTGCGCGTCACGGCGATGTACGGCCACTCACGTACCGTCTGGACATTCCTGGCCTCCTGCTTCCTTTGCGAAGTCGCAGCTATGGCGGTCATTCTCGGGATGACGTACAAGCAGATCATAGGTCAGTCATCTGCTTCGTCCTTCCTCTCGTTAGGAATTCACAGTGAGCCCGCAAGTCGCGTCGGAACCCATACCCGGCGTAATCATCTGCACGCCAGTTGGTATCCCAGATTTTTTCTTTGTGTTCTGGGTTCCTATCGGTAAGGGTCCATCATCCGCACCCATCCATCTGTGCCAATACTCGCTCGCTCAACTCACCACCGCTACCAGTTGTCTTCGAGTCTATTTTGTTCCTGTTGGTTGTCATACAAGGCGTCGGCCACCTTAAGGAACGCAGTTGCAGCTGGAGCCCAACTACCCTAATGGATGTGTTGGTTAGGGACAGTATCTTATACTTCTTCCTGTGAGTACGGCAGCCAGGATGGCCTCTCGCATCTGAACCTTCTGATCAGGACGCTCACAACCTATATTACCAACGCGGTCGTCTGGATGACAATGTCGGTTCGTCCCTCTTCCCCGTAGTTATATAATTCTATTGCACCCGCTAATGCCTTGCTTTCCAAAATGAAGTCGACTTGGCTTGAAGTCCCCGAAGGCTTCGCCCTGGCCGCTACGTGCATCATGGGCTCGCGGCTAGTACTCAACATGCGGGAAGCGTTCTTCAACCCCTTCCACGAAGGTGGTATTTTTGTCTTATCCGCTCTCGGGAGCGGGCGGGCGGGTAGAGCGTCCCCCGATTTGCAGTTCCAGCGCCATGGCTCCGTAAGGTCGAGAGCCATGCTGGACGAGATTGAACTGGGTGACGCTAATTGGGCGGAAACGAGTGGGGTGATGAAACCCCTGGCACAGGGAGATAGGTGAGGGATGGACTATGAGAAAGATATTTGCACGAGCATACTTCAATTGCAATTGAAAGGAGATAGGCCTGGGCGACCATTCTGAGCCCTGCACTCTGCACCTTCTCTTGAGAAACCTGAACGTACGTAACACAACGGACCCTCTGATTCGCACGCATCTTCAGATCCACTGTCGTACTGGTTTCCCGCGCAAGTGTAACGCTTGGGAGCTGAATACACGCGCTCCCACTCTGCAGCTGTGGGCGCTCTCACTGGATTTCCCCGAACCACAAGCGATACAATGGGATATGGGCCCTAACGTGGTTCGCGAACAACAGTTTGTATAGACTGCCTAAAGGTAAGCTTCTCACTGCCGCCGAGCTGGCACGTTATCTCCACTGGGAGGCAAGTTGGCAGCACCTGGGTCAGGCATGTATTATATTAGGTATGATCAGATGTAGAGAGGGTTCGAAAAACGCTTGACGGCCCGACTGGACCATAATAATGTCTACAGAGCTGCAGAAGACAGGTGGGCAGCTCGGTGGTGGTCTTGGATTAAATGAGTCGACGGCACATGACTAGGACTCGGATGTTCCGACGTAGGCCAGCGAACTTGAAGACGTCTTCGGTGTGTGGTCTAGCACCCGTGGAAGGACAAATAATCGTATTCTAAGCTTCAAAAAAGAGCACCTTACCTGCTAAGTAATGCAGACCTTTGTGAACCTTTGCTTACATAATTGACCTCCAACGTTTACAGGCTACTCGGAATTCTTAAGTGTAATTCACGCAAAAGTGCCACTTCCTTTGCAGCTGGAGTTCCTGGTTAGTGCTCGACAGTCTGTCATATTGGAACTTCTAATGAGACTCAGCTGACAGAAACCCAAGCCTGTAGGTACCGGGATGGTACTTATCCTTATATTTGACAGTAGTTCGGTCTTTGCTTAGTAATAAGTTGCCGTGTCCCAATCTCCCTCACCCGACGTCCTGGCCGAGGGTGGCGGCGCGCAGTGCCGCCACCCGAAAGTCAGGACAAGAGGCAGACTGGGGAGGGCTTCGAACTCCTTGGGACAATAAAAGTAAAATAAATTAATTGATACTATGTACATGTACACCTCCCGGAGTGGCTACAGTGTGAGGCGCTCAAAACCGACCACTCGGCAATAGGCGAGCCGCGGATCCTATCACGATCGTGAGAAAAGACTTTTAGGTCCCGAAAACCAGACCAATCGATTCCTTTTCACGAGAGCTTTCGAGCCATCTGATTATTTTCTCGAAATTCCCACTTTCAAGAATTTAATCCTTTACATATTTGAATTTGGGTCGGAGATGTAGCAAAGTTACCATAAGGGGAAGCTTTGTAATCACGGCCAGGGTAGCCGCGCCACGTGCCTGGCTAGGGTTAGGGTGAAGGCACTACTTGCTTTGGACGTGTGGGACACTCCCTATCGCAGGAATTCCATCGGAGAACCCCATTTCCGTATTATACAACCATATTGAGTGATCAGGACGCAGCTGGCTCCCAAATAAATGAGGTTACGCTCGGCGACCCCAAATTTAAATGCTTACGTAAGCACCCAAAAAAATGAAAATGCAGGATTACGCATCTTTTGGCTAGGTTTATGTTTCAAATTTTTTTCTTGCCGCCTACGGCGCCATAATTAAGGTGCCACAGAGGTGCCGACTCTTAGTGACATACACTGTACGGGTGCCGCAGCTAGTGTACTTGATACGCGGACGCGGTGTCGAATGTGGCGACTATGGCCTCCCAGGATTGAAACTCCGCGGCGGGTGTGGCAACATCTTGTAGGACCCCGGCATATGGGTACTGATGTTTGATCCTAAGTGCCCGATTTTTGGCCCTTGTGGCCTCACACATTTGGACCGGATATGTCCGCCTCTAGGATCCGGTCAGCCCAAATTGGGCTGTTTATGTCCGCATAAGTGACCTATGTTCGGGCGCCCCCCGGTGTGTCCGCCAAACGGATCCAACCTCGAAACCGGCACACGCCCAACGCTGCAACGAGTAGATCGTGACATGAGTACTCTGGGATATTGTATTTCAGTCTTCCTAAGATCCACCACTGTTTCCAAAGCTTGCATTTCATTCACCATTGCTGAGGATATACCTGGATATATACGAGATGAGCTGACAGTTGACTGAAAAGTATAAGAGACACCACTCAACCTAGTACAAGGACTACTGGGTGTGACATGTTGACACTTCGATGACTCGGTATGTCCGTCAGGTGATCGGACACCAAGACCGGCAAGGCCGTTGTGTCCGCCGTGATATACCGGACATGGACCGAAATTTTGGGCTTTATGTCCGCCTAAATATCCGACATAGGGCCTCAAAATTGGCCGTTTATGTCCGCACTAGGATCAAACATATATACCAGTATGCCGGGGTCCTCATCTTGTGCAGGTCTTGCAACGACAGCTGACATCCCACACCTAAAACTGTAGCTTCCATCTTTACTGTCTCCGACATGATGCATTGATGATCCAAATATTCGCCTCTCAGCCTCAACTGGGCGCAACAGGCCAATAATAGGGCAACATTGCCTTTATAGTTGCCAAAGATTGGCTCTGGGAAGCATCGCCATGCCCTCGGTATGATAAGCATGACCCGACACCCTTGCATTGCATGATTTATGCCGTACACTCCCTGAGAATTCCGCAGGGGCCTTCCATATTACGTTCTTGTACTGGGCCCTTTAATTTCAACGCTCGTATATGAGGCTCATGTCGTCGAGGCTTGCCCCTTCGCCATTCCGCGCGAACGAGCCATACTTAGCTAGATTGTTACACTGACGTTCGACATGGTACACTGGAAAGACGTCGCAGAAGTGGAACGAGATGCGGAAGTCTACGCAAGATTGTGGCCCGTCTTCATGGGCATCTATCTGTAAGTCGTAGTACTGAATCGTAACCGTTGCTTCCTTGGCTGACTTGTGTCACGCCTAATTAGGTACGACTTCCTACAAACCCTGTGGTTTGAGTGGTGGCTCGTCACTCGCAAAATACCATTCAAGTGGCCATATGTACCGCCTGCCTATCTTGCTCCAACTGTATGGCCAACCCTGATGATACAGCTAGATACCATACTTCGTGGGGCGTTATTCCTTACTCGCGATGTTCAGCGTGATGTAAGCGTAAGGCGTCT